TAAAAGAATAGGACCACCAACTTCTTCTGATTGGGATAAAGTTTCAAGGTTAGTGAAGTTTCTTAAAGTCTTTTAAAAGGGTACTGTCACTTTCTCTGCATCAAAGACAGTGACTTCCACTTTGTGTTACAATGAAATTGTGGACATTGAGAGGAGTCTCATCACTAAGTCTCACAGTCCCGAAGAGGAGACCAGAAAGATGGCTACTGCCATGAGAGATAAGTTTGACAAGTATTGGGATGGATTAGGTAACATGAATCCTCTAGTGATTGTGGCTAGTGTCTTTGATCCTCGCAACAAGATGAGGTTTGCTTCACTCTGCTTTGACCAGCTCTATGGTAAAGATACCATAGAGAATAGAAAACTCCATGCATCTGTTTCAAGTGTCATGAGTTCAATGTATGAGGATTACAGTTTCAAGCTGAGCAAACCTGTAGAAAATGAAGAACCAGATTCTCAGCCACAGCCTGAGAACTTTGTGTTATCTGATGATGAAGATGATTGTGAAGGGATGCTGTCATTATTTGATAAAGTGGTTGGCTTGAAGGGTAATGATGATAGTTGCAATGAGTTAAAAATGTATCTCACAAAACAAACTAAGGCTAGAATTGAAAATAAGTTGGGGTTTCCTTATGATGTTCTCAGTTGGTGGAGACGCAATTGCCCTAAGTTCCCAATCTTGTCAGAATTTGCTAGAGATGTTCTTGCTATTCAAGCCTCCTCTGTAGCTTCAGAGTCTGCATTTAGTACGAATGGAAGGGTGTTGGATCCTTATAGGAGTTCTTTAACTCCTTACATGGTTGAGGTTTTAATATACACACAACAATGGTTAAGGTGTTCCTATAAAAAAGAGGATGCTGTAACAAACTTGGCCCAAATGTTAGAAGAAGTTGATTTTTTTGAGTCACTTGGTAAGTTTAACTATTCTCCTTGATTCAGTTTTTTTATCCTTTCAAGACTGTTGATAAGTATAAGGCTATAACTAATCTCATGTTTCTGTTTTCTTGCCTAGATGCTCGAAATTCAACAATTTCTCTTACATGATTCTTCATAGTATGGCAGGTATGATTCTGGTTCTGTTGTAGTCTAAGTAGTTCATTGTTAAGTATTTGATTCTGTTTTTGATTTACAATGTTATGTCTTTGTTATGATTCTATTAGGTAGGTAGGAAGCTGCGGTTTTTTGTCCTTTTGATGTAGAAAAGTAGCCTTGGACAGTACTGACTTTGAAGCTGCTGTTTTGATAATTTTTTGGTGCGAATCAACATGCTTTTATGAATCTGCATATGGTAAGCTAACTACTAAAGCAAACTTGTTATTTGTATGGTTCTGTTATTGTTTTTTGATGTAATGCTAGCTTAAACTTTGATAAAATGCTAGCTTGGCAGCTTCATGGTCTGTACTAGTAGCTTAAACTCACAAACACAGCTTTAAGCTACCAGTACAGCTTTATGTAATGGTTCTTCCTTCTTTTGTGTCATTATGTAGTAGTTAAGCTTGTGTTGACTTTGTAAAATGTCATATTCGGTTTAAATTAACCGAATTGGACACTATATTCATTTGTTCTCGGAGGCTAAAATACATCAACTAACCGACCCGATTAAACCGACAACCGACCGAACCTGAACCGAATTACAATTCGGATTAATCCGGTACAAATTTCAAAGAATAGAATCTAAGGCAAACCGAACAACCCGAACCGAATAACCCGATTCCACCGAAGTCCCAGGGCTAATGAATATGTTATTGTGTCAAGGCCTATTGTTTTCTCCGGTAAGATATAAGAAACTATCAGAATCTGGTAACGCGATCACCTCAATGGATGCTATAGTCGAATCTACTACTACGGTAAACGTATTTGTGATTGTGTTAAAGAGAATTACAGAGTCGAGTTTTTTCAGAAAGACCTTGGTACGGAAGCTTTGGTACCACCGTGTCTACATTTCAGAGTTATTTATGGACACATCGGGTTTAAAGCTACGATTTGCAAAAAGAAAGTTCAGCCACAAGTTGCTGCATGCTAATCGTAACAAAGAGAAATCAAATATGAAGTTGGACAATAACGGATCTTATGATCGGTTAGCGAGTAAGACTACTCTTCGGAAAGCATTGTCAATCTCCATTCTGCTGTATTTTTCTCAGTGTATGGCACATACATTTGCGTATGTAATAATTGTGTTCTAGTAATTCTGTAACTGTCTTTGTAATAACTCTTTTAAATCAATGAAAGTTTGTTTTTGCTGAAAAAAAAAATAAAATTTATTGATTATTTATTATATATAAAATTTACAAATTGTATCATTCTCTAAGATATTTAGATTTTAATAAACTAAGGATTTAATTTGTATTAAAGTGGCATGTTAACGATATTTTGAGATTATATAAATATTGATTCAAACTCGTCCACCATATAATCTTGTTCCGAAATATAACTCGTCCTGTAATTTGTTAACCCGTCCTATGATTTGTTTTCTAAAAGTAGTAATTTTAAAATTTTAACGATGATTTATTATATATAAAAGTTTGCAAATTGTATCATTCTCTAAGATATTTATATTTTATAGTTTACAAATTTTATTAAGTAACATTATATTACGAGACAATAATGGTTTTATACAATATTGGTGGTATTAAAAAAAATTAAGGATATAATCTGTATTGAAGCGACGGATTAATGATATATATATATTTTTTTTTGTTGATTCAAAAACTTATCCTGCCAAACCCATCTCGCCAAAAAAACCATTTGTTTTATTAATGTTGATCTTATTTATGATATGATTCTGAATCACTGTCTAAATATTTGAGTCGATGTGGAACTTTGAACACACATTTTTCGTCAATTGGATTATATATGTCCGTTTTTAAAATTTGGAATCACAGTATATGCTGCAAAAATAATAATATGTTTTATTCACCAGATACCCTTTTTTAGATCTTTACCGATGAGAATACTCTAATATTGGTGGTATTAAAAAAAATTAAGGATTTAATCCGTATTAAAGCGGCAGATTAGTGTATTTTAATTTTTTATTATTGTTGATTCAAAAAAATGTTCCGCCAAATCCATCCTGCAAAAAAAATAACTCTTTTATTTTATTAATGTTGGTCTTATTTTAGTCGATGTAGAACATTGAACACATATTTTTCGTTAATTGGATAATATATGTCCGTTTTTAAAATTTCGAATCACAATATATGCAAAAAAAATTGATGATTCAATTATATGATTGATGATTCAATTGGATTTTTTTTACTTTATATATTATATGATGATTCAAAACAGTTAAAACCAAATCAAACAAAGGTGATAGGAGAATCATAATTCTAAATCTTAATCAAATTTTCTAAATATCTAAATTATTAAATATGAAATATTTGATGTATGAGTTGGATTAAATATAACCTGACCCAACAAATTTTTTATGACCAAAATTTTTAAACAGGCCGGATACCCAAAATATCCAAATGTATTTTACCTCATCGGCCTAAAATGTACTAAAATGAGAAAAAAAAAAGCTTTTCATTCTTCATGGTTGACAAAATGTTATGGGCCTTGGACCTAGTCTTTGATTATTGGCCCATTTAGAAACACACGCTTCTTCCCCATCACTAACTAAACTTGTTCAACGCTCAAGCGATTCTTCATCATCTCTTTCGCAATTTGATTCCTCAGAGATCTCTGAAATGGTCTTGTCTCCTTTTTGGTCGAATCCTATCTCACTTTTATTGTTATCTTGCTTCCATCAATGGGTAATCGAAAAACAGAAGATTTGATTCGGTAAAACGATAAAGTTTTAGTCTTTGACCATTGTAGATTCCTCTGTTTCTTGGGTATTTGATTGATCTGTTAATGGATAACCAAAAAGGTGCTCTCTTTCCCGATGAGGTTATTCTCCAGATTCTTGCTAGATTACCTGTTAAATCTCTCTTCAGGTTCAAATCCGTTTGCAAATCTTGGTACAGATTACCTTCTGACAAGTACTTCACTTCCTTGTTCAACAAAGTCTCTGTAAAAGATCAATTGCTTGTGGCTGAAGTATCAGATTCTTCTAGTTTGATCTGTGTTGATAATCTGGGAGGTGTTTCTGAATTATCATTGGATTTTGTTAGAGATAGGGTGAGGATTAGGGTTTCTTGTAATGGTTTATTGTGTTGCTCTAGCATTCCTGAAAAGGGTGTTTACTATGTTTGTAATCCGTCGACTAGAGAGTATAGGAAATTGCCTAAGAGTCGAGAAAGACCCGTTACTCGGTTTTATCCTGATGGTGAGGCAACTCTTGTTGGTTTGGCTTGTGATTTGAGTAGGAATAAGTTTAATGTGGTCTTGGCTGGTTACCATAGGTCTTTTGGTCAGAGACCTGATGGGAGTTTCATTTGCTTGGTGTTTGATTCTGAAACTAACAAATGGAGGAAGTTTGTTTCGGTGTTAGAAGAATGTAGTTTCACACACATGAGTAAGAACCAAGTGGTGTTTGTCAATGGGATGCTTCATTGGTTGATGAGTGGTTTGTGTTATATACTTGCACTTGATGTTGAACATGATGTGTGGAGAAAGATTTCTTTACCTGATGAGATTAGATGTGGGAATGGTGGTAATCGGGTCTATCTATTGGAATCCGATGGGTTTTTGTCGGTGATTCAACTATCAGATGGATGGATGAAGATTTGGAAGATGAATGAGTATGAGACTGAAACTTGGAGTGTTGTTGATAGCATAAGTTTAAGGTGTATTAAAGGATTGGTACCTGGAATCTTCCCGATTTGTCAGACCGGCGAGTATGTTTTCTTGGCTACTCATAAACAGGTTTTGGTGTATCAAAGACGAAGTAAGTTATGGAAAGAGATGTTTTCTGTGAAAGGAAGCTCTTCTCTGCCTTTGTGGTTCTCTGCTCACGCCTTTCGCAGCACCATAGTACCCTGTAATTAACATGTTTGTGTTGCCTTCTCTACTTTTTGTTTGGTTTATTTTCAGCTCTTGGATCCTTTAGGGCTTATGCAAATTTTTTTCAAGGTTTTATAATCCTTCTAGGATAACATATAAATTAATATACATATATACAGTTGATTTCTTCTGTTGCTTTTAGTACAAATATATTGTGGTTTTGTTGAATTTTGGTTGAACCTTTTCTGGCTTCTCCTTGAGATCATGATCATCACCCTGAACGTCTTCAAACACTGACAAAGGCAACGACTTAGACAATAAACCGACCTGTGTCTTGAACGTAATCAAACCAGAGGAACGGTTCACTTGAATCTCGCCGAGTGAGATCCAAACCATGAACTCCTTAGCCTTAACCCCAGTGAGTTTCTTGATCCTGTTAGGCTCGAAATATGCAGTGACTTCATCTTCGAAACATACCACAACGTTATCAAATCTAAACAAGTCTTGATATCTCCTTTTCTGGTCTTCTTTCTTCTTCTTCTTGTGCTTTAACCACACAAAACCCGTGTCTTTCACGTATCCACATTCTTCGATCTCCTTGTTACTAAGGAGCCGGTTGGGTAACCCGATTTCGGATAAAAGTGAACCGAATTTCTCTCTGCATATCTTGTCTCCATGGTACACCTCTGCCTTGGCTTTCATGGCTTCTGTCACCATAAAGATTTATATGATCAAATCTCCTTTTGTGTTTTGGATAAGAGTTGAGAATGTTTTTGAGGCAATGAGGTTTTCAAAGTTGTCTTTTTTACCTTTTAATGTGTTTTTAAATGTTGTGCAAGTTTGAGAATATGCGTTCTCGAGTGGATCTCTCTAATTTATTTTTCTTGGCAAATTGAAACTCGTTTTCTTTTTTTATATACTCCCAAAGGATATCCTTTTCTTGTTCAAGACTTGAACTTCAAGTCCAATTTCTTTTGCGCAATTGTACACGACTACACGTAAGTGAGTTCTAAACATACAATTCAATCTTTTAAGTAGCTAATGTCATGGATTAGATCGGTAGCTCATTTAGCCACGGAAAATCATGTCATGTCTATTTTCTTTTGGTGACTTGTTAGTGGCTAGAATAGTTAACTTTCGATTTCAAGATGATATACCTGAAATCGAACAAAGTTATAAACTTAAATTTAATGTAATTAAAAATTGAAAACCTACATCCAAAGTTTGAATTTCAAACAAACAAAAAGGAATGATAATTGATTCATGATTAGTTGACTATGTAAAGACGACTAGAACCGTTTCAAACCGCCTAACTAGGTATAAAATCGCCTAAAAATAAAAGTATCATAATTTTATTTAATAACAAAAAAACTTGTAATTAATTATAAAATGCCTAACATATAATTGATTTGTCGTATTGGTGGATTCGAGTGTTACGGGAAAGTTACGCTGTAAAATTATTGTTCATAGAAACTTTTCACCATAATCGCATATGTTGCAGGTAATTGAATATTATTATCATAATTTTAGATTAAATAGAACGATATCATAGCGAGGAAAAAAAATCGATATAGGTTATAGAATTCATGCGAGTAATTTGAAAAATTAAGAAGATTTTATGTTTTTTTTTTTTCTTGAATATAATGTCCTAAAAATATAGGTGATTTCTGATTTGAGACAAAACTGAATTTCACCAGCTCATCTTAAAACAGTGACACCGCCGGTCGAAAACTTCCGTTTTTCTGATCGTTTCTTTTCCAAATCATTCGGCAAAATTGAAAAAGCGTGTTTTTTTCTTCCTTCACCTCTTAAATCTTAAATCAAATCACTCACCAAAAGCCACAGATAAATCCCAATTTGGGTTCATCGATTATAAGCAGGAATAATGAATTTCGGATGACAAAAAAAAAAGATTATAAGCAGGAAAAAAAATTGATCCTTTAGGGCACAACTTGTTTCGTCATCTTCTTCTTGTGGGCCTTCTTCTTCTCCGACCTTTAATTTGACTTTTCTTTACTCTAATGGAATCTCTTCCTCTTCCTTTCGCTACGCCACTCGTTTGGAATCAGAGTTTCAGGTACTCTTCTGGGCAATTCCCCAATTTCGCCCTTATAATCTCAATTCGATTTTTGGTTAGTTTTTGCTTAATTTCCACAAAAAACTTTATGGGTTCGATCTCAATTGCTATAAAACCTTGTTTGATTTTGTTTTTTTATTCAAAGATTTGAACTTTGTTGTGTTGCATCTTCGATTTGATCACTTCTACTTTGTTTGAGGTACTGTAATGTAATTAGGTACTTATTTGGATTAGTTCTCTTCTCTAGTGGCAGGGAATGTTAGAGAAAGTTTAAGCTTGAGTGCTAGAGAAGTTGATTTGTGTTTGAATTTGGTAATGGCTCGAAAAGGAAGTCATCAGAAGAATGGAATGGATAACCAAACGAAGCAAAAAAAGAAGACTGCTTCTGATTCTTTGCATTCTACAAAGGGACAAGGGAAAACTAGTGAGGCTGAGAGTGTTCTGAAAGAGGATTGTCAAGATGATAAGCAGACAAGAAGTAGTCCAGTTTGTGAAACTTTAGAAAGAGACATGGATGCGGTAAAAGGTGCTGCTTCTCTTAAGGATATAAATCAGCCTGTTTCTTCGGAGTGCGATTTAGCTGGAGGTAGACCTCGTAATGAACCTGGTTTTACCACAGAGGAAGCTAGATATATTCCGTTTGGTCGTGAACATATTGACGGTGTTATTAGAAGCTTGCTGGATATATTGAGCACGAACAGCCCGTCAGAGAATATTGAGCTAGCATACAATGCAGTACTCAGGAAACTGAGGATATCCACTGCTACCATATCAAGGGAAATGACTAAGTGTATGGAAAGACACAGGCCTTTGATAGATTCTGTCAAATTACGAGTATATAAAGCTCGTGATCTTGTTATAACGAAAATTCGGCAAGTATTCCCGGTTTTCTTCAGATGGCTTATGCACTTTGGCAGCATATTTCTTCTTCTATCTCTGGTTTGGTTGGACTGTGCAATCCGAGGTTTTGATTCTTTCATTCGGATGGGAACAGCATCCTTTTTCTCTATCATGTGGTGTGGTCTCTTTTCAGCGTTTTCGATGATCGGCATGACCAAATTTATACTGATATCGGTAAGAATCTCAATTATGATTTCGTATATGTGTACTCTTTATGCATATGTTAAAAATTCTCGAGAAATACAGGTTGCAACTGTTCTGGTGGCATTGTTCATTGGATTCGTTGTCGGGTCTGTTATCCTTGCCATTTCTGGTTTGGTTTTGCTATGGCTCTATGGTAGCTTTTGGACAACACTCCTCTTTCTCTTCTTCGGAGGTAAAGTCCTTCCTATCTCAATCTTGCAGCAACTACCATTCTCTTGCATTATTTTGTCTAATTCAGTGTGCAATATTTGTTGATTTAAAGGTCTGGCATTCATGATGAAGCACGAGCGCATTGCACTGTTTATCATTACAGTGTATTCAGTCTATAGTGCATGGAGTTATGTTGGATGGCTAGGTCTTCTTTTGGCTTTCAATCTTGCTTTCATCTCAACCGATGCTCTCATATATTTCTTCAAGAATAAATTAAATCAGCAGAACACTGCTGATGGACCCACCGAGCCTGTAAATGATTCATCTTTTGAAAAAGGCCCTGGCTTTCCTGGAGACCGTGGCCCAGGAGTCGCGTCAACTAGCGGAACAGACTCTGAGTTAACATCTGAAGATGAAGTCGCTCGGTTGCTGAATTGTGCTGACCACTACTCAGCTTTGGGCTTAGCCCGATATGGAAATGTTGACATGGCTTATCTCAAACGAGAATATAGGAAAAAGGTAATGCTGCTTATTTCTCTCTTCGAAGTGAATGTTTGTTGGATACTTCTGAGCAGCAAAAGGGTATGTTGAGTTTATAAGCATTGTGAATGATTTAATAGGCGATGCTGGTCCATCCTGATAAGAATATGGGGAATGAGAGAGCAGCTGAAGCTTTTAAAAAACTTCAGAATGCGTATGAGGTAATGTTTTTTTCCCTGTCCATTTTATCAATTTGTAATCGCTGCATCAAGAACCCGCATATCTGATCTCCTTAGCTGGCCTTTAGGTATTGCTTGATTCTGTAAAGCAAAAATCATATGATGAAGAATTGAAGAGGGAAGAACTACTCAACTACTTTCGGAGGTTTCAGAATTCTTCTCAAATGGTATGTATACTGTTGTCTGGCTGTTATTTCATCTTCTGAAATACATCTTTCTTGCTAAAAGTATCAGTTTTTTTGTCCTTCATACTTGAAATTGTAAACAAGTAGGCATGTTTCTGTCTTTGCTTTATTCCTCAATACGTTTTCTTTTGGATCCTCTACTCGGATATTTGTGTTTATATTAAGCTGCTAACATAATTTATCATCATGAACCAGGACACTCGGGGACACGGTTTCTCTGGCTCGGGTTTTGGAAGCTCAGAAGGTGAAGGAGAGGAAGCATTTAGAGAGTGTAGACAAATAGCGTGTAAAAAATGTGGCAATCTCCATGCCTGGTTTCTTACAAAGAAATCAAAATCTACAGCAAGATGGTGCCAGGTTTTTTCCAACTCTTTCCATCTGCATCTTTAAGATCATATTTATTACACCAATGATGAAACTTCTTGAGAGGAAGTATAATTCATAGTACTTAACCGATTTACGCTAGCTCTGCTTTTGTATCTGAAGGACTGCAAGGAATTCCATCAAGCAAAAGATGGAGATGGTTGGGTTGAACAATCTTCCCAGCACGTCTTGTTCGGGCTGTTTCAAAAGGTATTTTATACAAAAAGGTTTTCATTTGTTGGGCTTATAAAATATATTGGAGAAGAATGAAAATGGAAATAGACATTCTGTGATGTTTGATCCACAAGAAGACATTTTTTGTACTATCGATTGATATGCTTTCTCGCAGTCATGTGAAAGAGTTTGTTATTGTAACGCAGGTTGATATGCCGCGTGCTTACGTTTGTGCAGACAGCAAAATATATGAAGCTTCTCAGTGGTATATATGTCAGGTACCAACAACCAATCTTTTGGAATTTCCATAAGATATTGCAGGGTACTTTTTTTCCCGGACTGATTAAAATGTTTTTGTTTGAATTGTTGGAAGGGAATGAGATGTCCAGCAAACACCCACAAGCCGAGCTTCCATGTGAACATGAACGCAACAGCTGCAAAACGAGGACCAAGTGGTTCTTCAGGGCAAAAAGGAAACCAGAGAATGCCAAACGCAAACCCGGATGAAACAATGACAGAGGAAGAGTTCTATGAGTGGTTGCAGAACGCGGTGCAATCTGGTATGTTTGATAATGCAAGGGAGAGCCCGTCTTCAGCAACTGCCAGTAGCACTAGTAGTAGTAGCAGCAAGAAAAAGAAAAAGGGAAAGAAGCAATGGTGAAAAACTCAGAATCAGTTCGACTATATTAACATGGTGAAAGTTTTGTACCCTTTCTTTAAGATATTAAAACTGACTTTGATAAGTTTTTATTCACACAGAGCAAAAGCTCTCGGAAGAAGCCGATTGATAGATTCAACTTTATTATACGGAGACTTCAAATTAAGATGAAAAAAAAACTGGGACAGATTTTCCCTCGGCAGATTTCATTTCATGCCACTTGTTTTGATATCTTCAACAATCCCAGCTCGTGGGTGGCTTCGAGACGGTGAAGGTACTAATCACATCATCAAATCTTAATAATCTCACTATTCACCAATCATACAATGATGGTGATGTGACAACGTTGGTGCTACCTAGCTTTGTATATATAATGGTTTTCAGTCGAAGATTGAAACACATCGCCATTAACTACCATTTAATCTGGTATTGTTCGTGTCACATGTCTCCACGCATGATCAGCTGGTAGATGCACTAACCAAACTACTCCTAGATTCGTGATTCAAATTTCTAATGCAAGATTGGACTCTCTCAAGATCTTCCATTTTGAGGGACCGGTGTGTAATGGACATAATTATCATTTATTTTTTTGGTGGGAATGGACATAATTATCATATGTATTATGGTTGAACATTCTACAAGTAAATAATTCTCAAAAACACCATTTCTTAAATAATTTTTTATGATCAATGCTATCTATTAGCAATTAAATTATGAACAGATAGTAATGGAGATTTTAATAGTTTTATTTTCTAATTTATTTACTCAAATAAAAAATGTTAAAAATCAAATTGAATAATTATTTTTACTTTTCTTGATTATTTAAAATTGAGATAAACATGTAAAAATTGGAGATATTTTTAACAATACAAAAAACCTAATATAAAAATAAGTATCCAAAAAAATAAAAACATAACTATTTGATTGGTTAAAATTTATTTGTTACAAATATAATAATGGAGAAATTTATATTAATTAAAATTTTATTTCATAAAAAAACATTCATGGCTATTTCATTGGTCAAAAATAAATTCTACGAAAATAATAATAGAGATATTTGATAGTAATTAACTTATTTTATAAAAAAAATACTCAAAATTTAATCCTATTTACACACATTTCCAAAATCATTTGCAAATATTGCATGAATTTGA